CGCACGGCGGAACTCCAGCCCACACACCCTGGGGCTCCGACCAGAGCGCGGCTGATGCGCAGGCTGCTGGCCGGACGTTTCCCCTCCAGGGCCACCTTCCTCGCCCTCTCTCTTATTAAATCCTTTATATTAAGTTCACTTGCTTGCTTACGACCGTGCAAATCTTTCGGTCGTTTTTTAACCCACTTCCCGTGATCCAATCGAGCTGACATTTTGCACACAGACTCGTTGTGCGTGACAATTAATTTTCGTGAAAAAAAATGTTCCAAAATTTTACACTGTTTAGGGAAACATTTTAAAATATGTAATTACCAATTGCTTAATGGTTGCATGCAATCATCTGACCCATAGGTGGCAGCCATCTCAAGCCAGAGGACGAGAGGACTCTAGCCGTCACGCATATAAAGGATTTATAGTGAAAAACTTTGTTTTTACGGGTTATACTTATTTTTTTCTCTCTCGCTGTGTCTCTCTTTATTCTTTTTTCTTTCTCATAACTTCGGTTTTATTAAAAACATTGTCAGCAGCCTTTACTCTACTTGAAAACAATAATTCTTGGTACAATTGGCCCGTAACACTCAATGTAGTTTGCTTGCTGTTAACATGCATGGCTTGATGATGCTGATGGGGTCAATGTTGCTGAGCGATCCCTCTTCCACAAGAGAGAGGGGGGCTGGGTTTGGTGGTGGGTGGGTGGCTTGGTTAGAGCGCCCGCAAAATATAAAATGCTGTGTCGTGAAACCCCCCACCACCCGACCACACAGCCAGTGAGTAAGAGGGCTTGCCACGCAAAACAAAACGTTGACAACTCGAATCGCTCTTGCGATGGTAGCGATGATGATGGTGGTGACGGTGGTTGGTGATTTTGATGCAAGTGATGGTGTTGATGGTGATGATGATGGTTGATGATGGTGATGGTGGTGATGTTGTGGATGGTGATGATGGTGGTGATGGTGTTGATGGTGATGGTGGTGATGGTGTTGATGTTGTCGATGGTGATGATGGTGTTGATGTTGTGGATGGTGATGATGGTGGTGATGATGGTGGTGATGGTGTTGATGGTGATGGTTGATGATGGTGTTGATGTTGTCGATGGTGATGATGGTGATGGTGTTGATGTTGTGGATGGTGATGATGATGATGATGGTGGTGATGGTGTTGATGGAGATGGTGTTGATGTTGTCGATGGTGATGATGGTGTTGATGATGGTGGTGATGGTGGTGATGGTGTTGATGACGGTGATAGTATTGATGGTGTTGATGGTGGCGGTGTTGATGGTGTTGATGGTGATGATGATGGTGATGATGGTGGTGATAGTTATGATGATGGTGATGATCATGGTGGTGATGGTGATCATGGTGATGATGGTGGTGATGGTGGTGATGGTTATGATGATGGTGGTGGTTATGATGATGGTGATGGTGATCATGGTGGTGATGATGATGATGATGGTCTTGATGTTGTCGATGGTGATGATGGTGTTGATGATGGTGGTGATGGCGGTGATGGCGGTGATGGTGTTGATGATGACGGTGATGGTGATGGTGGCGGTGTTGATGGTGGCGGTGGCGGTGATGTCCGTGGCATGTTTGGCAATGCGTTGATGTCCACACATCCCTGGAGCTTCCTTCTCTCTGGGCGATGTCACAACCACCGCAATGTCGACAATTACAAACCTGTTACACACTCACCTCCTGTTACACACTCACCCCCTGTTACACACTCACCCCCTGTTACACACTCACCCCCTTACACACTCACCCCCTTACACACTCACCCCCTTACACACTCACCCCCTTACACACTCACTCACCCCCTGTTACACACTCACCCCCTGTTACACACTCACCCCCTGTTACACACTCACCCCCTGTTACACACTCACCCCCTTACACACTCACCCCCTGTTACACACTCACCCCCTTACACACTCACCCCCTGTTACACACTCACCCCCTGTTACACACTCACCCCCTTACACACTCACCCCCTGTTACACACTCACCCCCTGTTACACACTCACCCCCTGTTACACACTCACCCCCTTACACACTCACCCCCTTACACACTCACCCCCTTACACACTCACCCCCTGTTACACACTCACCCCCTTACACACTCACCCCCTGTTACACACTCACCCCCTGTTACACACTCACCCCCTTACACACTCACCCCCTGTTACACACTAACCCCCTGTTACACACAGATAAAGACGCAGGTCTCCAGCCCACCGTGTAGCCTCAACAGACAGCAGGGGCAAGTGCTGTTAGTAGCGAGTAGCAGCGGCACCTATGAAGGTAGACGCAGATAAAGGTCCCCCGTGTAGCCTCTAACAAACTGTAGGGGCAAGTGCTGCTAGTAGCGAGTAGCAGCAGCACCTGTGAAGGTAGACACAGACAAAGATCCCCTGTGTAGCCTCTAACAAACTGTAGGGGCAAGTGCTGCTAGTAGCGAGTAGCAGCAGCACCTGTGAAGGTAGACACAGACAAAGATCCCCTGTGTAGCCTCTAACAGACTGCTGGGGCAAGTGCTGTTAGTGGCGAGTAGCAGCAGCACCTGTGACGGTAGACACAGATAAAGGTCCCCCGTGTAGCCTCTACAGACTGCTGGGGCAAGTGCTATTATGGAGCAGCACCTATGAAGGCTACCGGCACTGTGTTAGAAATCTATGCATTGATTTACATGAAGACAAGTCCAGATATTGTGGCCAAGCTTTAGCAAATTGATAAATATGGCCTTGCACCACACACAAAGACAAGCTTCCCCAAGTAGAGCCTTAATGATGATGATAATTCGTTTTGAATAAAAAAAATACACCATAAACATGAAATAAAAAAAATTTCGATTTTAAGCTTTCGTGACTGCAGGGATTCATATTCTTGGCTCGTTCGGTAAAGTCATCACGTAGAAGGGAAGTAATAAAATAATAAAAATATTAAACAAATAAATGCTCACGACGTTTCGATTGCAACACACGCAATCATCATCAGGTGTGTGTGTGTGCAAGTGTGTGTGTGTAAGTCTGTGCGTGTGTAAGTCTGTGTGTGTGTAAATGTGTGTGTATGTGTGCCGGTGTGTGTGTGTAAGTCTGTGTGTGTAAGTGTGTGTGTGTAAGTGTGTGTGTGTAAGTGTGTGTGTGTAAGTGTGTGTGCAAGTGTATGTGTGTGCCGGTGTGTGTGTGTAAGTCTGTGTGTGTAACTCCAACCATCAAGAAGGATCCTGTTGAGGAGCCTTTCAAGACCATCACCTTACCCTACATTGCTGGGGTCACAAAAAAGATCTCCAAAATCCTGATTAAACACAAGATCCAGGTCCGATTCAACACAGTACATAAAATCCGTGATCTGGTACCGTCTGTAAAAGATGTGGTTCCAGACATACAGTACCCTGGCGTCTACAAACTAAGTTGCCTCTGTGGTAGCAGTTACATTGGGGAAACCAAACGACATGTCTCGGACCGCATCCGTGAACATAAGGCTGACCTGAAACACGGTAGGACAAACACCTCAGCCGTGGCAGATCACTGTTACAACTCAGTGGGCTCACATGATATTGACTTCTCCAAGACAGAGGTTCTCTGCAAGCCATCTGGCTATCATGAGAGATTCGTTCATGAGGCGATCCACATATACAAACACAGAGACAATTTTAACCGAGAAGATGGATTCTGGCTTAGCAATCATTGGAAGGACGTAATAAACCATTTCGATACACATTAGGGTGGGTAGAATAATACATAGTGTTATATTAAATGTATAAGGTATAGGTTGGTTTACAGCAATACAGTATATCATTTAATGTTGGCAGTATATAGTACGGTATATGCTCGTGTGATGCAATAGAATAAAGTTTAGATGGAAGCATATTATATAATTTTTACGACGTAGAATTGTAATGTATTACTTGCTGTTAGTAACTCAGCTTAGTGTAGAGTATAGTAAGTATACTGATGGTGCTATGCTATTTATACTTTAGTTTTTTAGGTAGTTTATACTTTAGTTTTCTACGTGGTTGTTGAGTAACTGCAGCTACATATCATTAACATTCCTTTCCTTTGTTACTGCTAATCCCTGCACCCCCCCCCCTTGGTGCTGTTGATCCTGCATAATGCATGGGCATAATATGACTTTGAAACCCCCCCGCCCACCTCCTACGCATTTGCCATGAATATGCTAAATTCCTCTTCATATGCACATTCTTTTGTTAAGGTGCTCTTCTTCCACCTCCAACGCAGCTTATATATAAGCTCCAAGCTTGGCAGTGTCTCATTCTTCACCTGAAGACGGCTGCTTGCGTTGTAGCCGAAACGTCGTGAGAATTATTTTATTATGTTTTATTTTTATTATTTTACTACTTCCCTTCTACGTGACTTTACCGAAAGAACCAAGAAGAAGTCTGTGTGTGTAAGTGTGTGTGTGTGCAAGTCTGTGTGTGTGTGCAACTCTGTGTGTGTGTGTAAGTCTGTGTGTGTGTGTGCAAGTGTGTGTGTGTGTGTGCAAGTGTGTGTGTGTGTGTGTGCAAGTGTGTGTGTGTGTGTGCAAGTGTGTGTGTGTGTGCAAGTGTGTGTGTGTGTCGATGTGTGTGTGTGTCTAAGTGTGCTGGCCACCCACCCACCCACTCCTCGTGCACCGTTCCAGCCTTCGTAGGCGCTGCTGATCGACCGCAGCACTTGCCCCTACAGCCTGTTAGAGGCTACACGGGGGATCTTTGTCTTGCACACACACACACACACGTACACACACACACTTGCACACACACACACGTACACACACACACTTGCACACACACACACACTGGCACACATCGATACACACACACACTTGCACACACTCACACAACCACTCACACACAGACTTACACACACACACATCGACACACACACTTGCACACACACACTTGCACACACACACACACGCACACACACACTTACACACACACACAGGCACACATCGATACACACACACACTTGCACACACTCACACACACACTCACACACACACTCACACACACACATCGACACACACTTGCACACACACACACACACTTGCACACACACACACACACTTGCACACACATCACCACACGCGCACAGAGTCACGCAGAGCCACACACGCGCGTGTCGAGAAGCAGGTGAGTCGCGCTGCGATGTTCCTGCGTGCGCCATGAAGTAGGGCCGTTGCCCGAAACGTCGCCTGTCCCCACACACGGTGCTGCGGTGACCACGTGGTGGGTGCCGCGTGTCTCGGATGGAGTTCGGAGGCCGTTGCTGAGATTTTAAGTTTAAATTGTTGTTGGTATTTTCGATAAGGTGGACGCGGTGCAATATAAACATAAACTACGGTGTTGTTGTTGTTGTTTGTCTCTTAGCTGCGATTCTTCAATGGTACTTCGTTTTAATGTTAAAGTTGGCAACACCCCCACTCTACCCCCCCCCCCCCAACTCTACCCCCACCTCTGGGACCCCCCCAACTCTACCACTGGGACCCCCCCCACTCTACCCCCACCCCTGAGACCCCCCCAACTCTACCACTGGGACCCCCCCCACTATACCCCCACCCCTGAGCCCCCCCCAACTCTACCACTGGGACCCCCCCTACTCTACCCCCACCCCTGAGCCCCCCCCAACTCTACCACTGGGACCCCCCCCACTCTACCCCCACCCCTGAGACCCCCCCAACTCTACCACTGAGACCCCCCCACTCTACCCCCACCCCTGGGAGCCCCCCCCTCTACCCCTGCCCCCCACTCTACCCCCACCCCTGAGACCCCCCCAACTCTACCACTGGGACCCCCCCCCACTCTACCCCCACCCCTGGGAGCTCCCCCCCCTCTACCCCTGCCCCCCCCCCCACTCTACCCCCACCCCTGAGACCCCCCCAACTCTACCCCTGGAACCCCCCCCCTCACTCTACCCCCACCCCTGGGAGCCACCCCCCCAACTCTACCTCCACCCCTGGGACCCCCCCCCCCACTCTACCTCCACCCCTGGGACCCCCATAACCTCGTCCTCCCCCCCCCCAGCATGGAGCCCGCGTCCCTCTCCGACTTCCTGTGCTCGCTGATCGATTTGGCCGCCTCCCTGCGGCTCCCCCCGCACGCCCTGCACTGCGCCAGGGCGGCCGTCAGCAGCCTCCTGGTGGGTTCACGACGGCCGTGGGTTCACAATGGCCGTGGGTTCACAATGGCCGTGGGTTCACAATGGCCGTGGGTTCACAATGGCCGTGGGTTCACAATGGCCGTGGGTTCACAATGGCCGTGGGTTCACAATGGCCGTGGGTTCACAATGGTCGTGGGTTCACAATGGCCGTGGGTTCACAATGGCCGTGGGTTCACAATGGCCGTGGGTTCACAATGGCTGTGGGTTCACAATGGCCGTGGGTTCACAATGGCCGTGGGTTCACAATGGCCGTGGGTTCACAATGGCCGTGGGTTCACAATGGCCGTGGGTTCACAATGGCCGTGGGTTCACAATGGCCGTGGGTTCACAATGGCCGTGGGTTCACAATGGCCGTGGGTTCACAATGGCTGTGGGTTCACAATGGTCGTGGGTTCACAATGGCCGTGGGTTCACATGGCCGTGGTTCACAATGGCCGTGGGTTCACAATGGTCGTGGGTTCACAATGGTCGTGGGTTCACAATGGCCGTGGGTTCACAATGGCCGTGGGTTCACAATGGCCGTGGGTTCACAATGGCCGTGGGTTCACAATGGCCGTGGGTTCACAATGGCCGTGGGTTCACAATGGCCGTGGGTTCACAATGGCCGTGGGTTCACAATGGCCGTGGGTTCACAATGGCCGTGGGTTCACAATGGCCGTGGGTTCACAATGGCCGTGGGTTCACAATGGCCGTGGGTTCACAATGGCCGTGGGTTCACGATGGTCGTGGGTTCACAATGGTCGTGGGTTCACGATGGCTGTGGTTCACAATGGTCGTGGGTTCACGATGGTCGTGGGTTCACGATGGCTGTGGGTTCACAATGGTCGTGGGTTCACGATGGTCGTGGGTTCACGATGGCCGTGGGTTCACAATGGCCGTGGGTTCACAATGGCCGTGGGTTCACAATGGCCGTGGGTTCACAATGGCCGTGGGTTCACGATGGTCGTGGGTTCACAATGGTCGTGGGTTCACGATGGCTGTGGGTTCACAATGGTCGTGGGTTCACGATGGTCGTGGGTTCACGATGGCTGTGGGTTCACAATGGTCGTGGGTTCACGATGGTCGTGGGTTCACGATGGCTGTGGGTTCACAATGGTCGTGGGTTCACGATGGTCGTGGGTTCACAATGGCCGTGGGTTCACAATGGCCGTGGGTTCACAATGGCCGTGGGTTCACAATGGCCGTGGGTTCACAATGGCCGTGGGTTCACAATGGCCGTGGGTTCACAATGGCCGTGGGTTCACAATGGCCGTGGGTTCACGATGGTCGTGGGTTCACAATGGTCGTGGGTTCACGATGGCTGTGGGTTCACAATGGTCGTGGGTTCACGATGGTCGTGGGTTCACGATGGTCGTGGGTTCACAATGGTCGTGGGTTCACGATGGTCGTGGGTTCACGATGGTCGTGGGTTCACAATGGTCGTGGGTTCACGATGGCTGTGGGTTCACAATGGTCGTGGGTTCACGATGGTCGTGGGTTCACAATGGTCGTGGGTTCACGATGGTCGTGGGTTCACGATGGCTGTGGGTTCACAATGGTCGTGGGTTCACGATGGTCGTGGGTTCACAATGGTCGTGGGTTCACGATGGTCGTGGGTTCACGATGGTCGTGGGTTCACAATGGTCGTGGGTTCACAATGGTCGTGGGTTCACGATGGCTGTGGGTTCACGATGGCCGTGGGTTCACAATGGCCGTGGGTTCACAATGGTCGTGGGTTCACAATGGCCGTGGGTTCACAATGGCTGTGGGTTCACAATGGCCGTGGGTTCACAATGGCCGTGGGTTCACAATGGCCGTGGGTTCACAATGGCCGTGGGTTCACAATGGCCGTGGGTTCACAATGGCCGTGGGTTCACAATGGCCGTGGGTTCACAATGGCCGTGGGTTCACGATGGCTGTGGGTTCACAATGGTCGTGGGTTCACAATGGTCGTGGGTTCACGATGGTCGTGGGTTCACAATGGTCGTGGGTTCACGATGGTCGTGGGTTCACAATGGTCGTGGGTTCACAATGGTCGTGGGTTCACGATGGTCGTGGGTTCACAATGGCCGTGGGTTCACAATGACCGTGGGTTCACAATGGCTGTGGGTTCACGATGGCTGTGGGTTCACAATGGCTGTGGGTTCACGATGGCTGTGGGTTCACAATGGCCGTGGGTTCACGATGGCCGTGGGTTCACAATGGCCGTGGGTTCACAATGGCCGTGGGTTCACAATGGTCGTGGGTTCACGATGGCTGTGGGTTCACGATGGCTGTGGGTTCACAATGGCTGTGGGTTCACAATGGCCGTGGGTTCACGATGGCCGTGGGTTCACGATGGCTGTGGGTTCACAATGGCTGTGGGTTCACGATGGCCGTGGGTTCACAATGGCCGTGGGTTCACGATGGCCGTGGGTTCACGATGGTCGTGGGTTCACAATGGCCGTGGGTTCACAATGGCCGTGGGTTCACAATGGCTGTGGGTTCACAATGGTCGTGGGTTCACGATGGCTGTGGGTTCACGATGGCTGTGGGTTCACAATGGCTGTGGGTTCACGATGGCCGTGGGTTCACGATGGCCGTGGGTTCACGATGGTCGTGGGTTCACAATGGCCGTGGGTTCACAATGGCCGTGGGTTCACAATGGTCGTGGGTTCACGATGGCCGTGGGTTCACAATGGTCGTGGGTTCACGATGGCTGTGGGTTCACGATGGTCGTGGGTTCACGATGGCCGTGGGTTCACAATGGTCGTGGGTTCACGATGGTCGTGGGTTCACGATGGTCGTGGGTTCACGATGGCCGTGGGTTCACGATGGTCGTGGGTTCACGATGGCTGTGGGTTCACGATGGTCGTGGGTTCACGATGGTCGTGGGTTCACGATGGTCGTGGGTTCACGATGGTCGTGGGTTCACGATGGTCGTGGGTTCACGATGGTCGTGGGTTCACGATGGCTGTGGGTTCACGATGGTCGTGGGTTCACGATGGCCGTGGGTTCACGATGGCCGTGGGTTCACGATGGTCGTGGGTTCACGATGGCCGTGGGTTCACGATGGCCGTGGGTTCACGATGGTCGTGGGTTCACGATGGCCGTGGGTTCACAATGGTCGTGGGTTCACGATGGCCGTGGGTTCACAATGGCCGTGGGTTCACAATGGCCGTGGGTTCACGATGGCCGTGGGTTCACAATGGTCGTGGGTTCACGATGGCCGTGGGTTCACGATGGCCGTGGGTTCACAATGGCTGTGGGTTCACAATGGCTGTGGGTTCACAATGGCTGTGGGTTCACAATGGCTGTGGGTTCACGATGGCCGTGGGTTCACGATGGCCGCGGGTTCACACCCTGTCACTTGCCCCATCGTGCTGTGTGCGCTACCCTGGGTGTGGACCTTGAGCCGGTGTCTGTGTGGTGAGCAAGGGAGTCTGTGTCTGTGTGGTGAGCAAGGGAGGCTGTGTCTGTGTGGTGAGCAAGGGAGGCTGTGTCTGTGTGGTGAGCAAGGGAGTCTGTGTCTGTGTGGTGAGCAGGGAGTCTGTGTCTGTGTGGTGAGCAAGGGAGTCTGTGTCTGTGTGGTGAGCAAGGGAGTCTGTGTCTGTGTGGTGAGCAGGGAGTCTGTGTCTGTGTGGTGAGCAGGGAGTCTGTGTCTGTGTGGTGAGCAAGGGAGTCTGTGTGGTGAGCAAGGAGTCTGTGTCTGTGTGGTGAGCAGGGAGTCTGTGTCTGTGTGGTGAGCAAGGGAGTCTGTGTCTGTGTGGTGAGCAAGGGAGTCTGTGTCTGTGTGGTGAGCAGGGAGTCTGTGTCTGTGTGGTGAGCAGGGAGTCTGTGTCTGTGTGGTGAGCAAGGGAGTCTGTGTGGTGAGCAAGGAGTCTGTGTCTGTGTGGTGAGCAGGGAGTCTGTGTCTGTGTGGTGAGCAAGGGAGTCTGTGTGGTGAGCAAGGAGTCTGTGTCTGTGTGGTGAGCAAGGGAGTCTGTGTCTGTGTGGTGAGCAAGGGAGGCTGTGTCTGTGTGGTGAGCAAGGGAGGCTGTGTCTGTGTGGTGAGCAAGGGAGTCTGTGTCTGTGTGGTGAGCAGGGAGTCTGTGTCTGTGTGGTGAGCAAGGAGTCTGTGTCTGTGTGGTGAGCAAGGAGTCTGTGTCTGTGTGGTGAGCAGGGAGTCTGTGTCTGTGTGGTGAGCAGGGAGTCTGTGTCTGTGTGGTGAGCAAGGGAGTCTGTGTGGTGAGCAAGGAGTCTGTGTCTGTGTGGTGAGCAGGGAGTCTGTGTCTGTGTGGTGAGCAGGGAGTCTGTGTCTGTGTGGTGAGCAAGGAGTCTGTGTCTGTGTGGTGAGCAAGGAGTCTGTGTCTGTGTGGTGAGCAGGGAGTCTGTGTCTGTGTGGTGAGCAAGGAGTCTGTGTCTGTGTGGTGAGCAAGGAGTCTGTGTCTGTGTGGTGAGCAAGGAGTCTGTGTCTGTGTGGTGAGCAAGGAGTCTGTGTCTGTGTGGTGAGCAAGGAGTCTGTGTCTGTGTGGTGAGCAAGGAGCCTGTGTCTGTGTGGTGAGCAAGGAGTCTGTGTCTGTGTGGTGAGCAAGGAGTCTGTGTCTGTGTGGTGAGCAAGGAGTCTGTGTCTGTGTGGTGAGCAGGGAGTCTGTGTCTGTGTGGTGAGCAAGGAGTCTGTGTCTGTGTGGTGAGCAAGGGAGCCTGTGTCTGTGTGGTGAGCAAGGAGCCTGTGTCTGTGTGGTGAGCAAGGGAGTCTGTGTCTGTGTGGTGAGCAAGGAGTCTGTGTCTGTGTGGTGAGCAGGGAGTCTGTGTCTGTGTGGTGAGCAAGGGAGGCTGTGTCTGTGTGGTGAGCAAGGGAGTCTGTGTCTGTGTGGTGAGCAGGGAGTCTGTGTCTGTGTGGTGAGCAAGGGAGTCTGTGTCTGTGTGGTGAGCAAGGGAGTCTGTGTCTGTGTGGTGAGCAGGGAGTCTGTGTCTGTGTGGTGAGCAGGGAGTCTGTGTCTGTGTGGTGAGCAAGGGAGTCTGTGTGGTGAGCAAGGAGTCTGTGTCTGTGTGGTGAGCAGGGAGTCTGTGTCTGTGTGGTGAGCAAGGGAGTCTGTGTCTGTGTGGTGAGCAAGGGAGTCTGTGTCTGTGTGGTGAGCAGGGAGTCTGTGTCTGTGTGGTGAGCAGGGAGTCTGTGTCTGTGTGGTGAGCAAGGGAGTCTGTGTGGTGAGCAAGGAGTCTGTGTCTGTGTGGTGAGCAGGGAGTCTGTGTCTGTGTGGTGAGCAAGGGAGTCTGTGTGGTGAGCAAGGAGTCTGTGTCTGTGTGGTGAGCAAGGGAGTCTGTGTCTGTGTGGTGAGCAAGGGAGGCTGTGTCTGTGTGGTGAGCAAGGGAGGCTGTGTCTGTGTGGTGAGCAAGGGAGTCTGTGTCTGTGTGGTGAGCAGGGAGTCTGTGTCTGTGTGGTGAGCAAGGGAGTCTGTGTCTGTGTGGTGAGCAAGGGAGTCTGTGTCTGTGTGGTGAGCAAGGGAGTCTGTGTCTGTGTGGTGAGCAGGGAGTCTGTGTCTGTGTGGTGAGCAGGGAGTCTGTGTCTGTGTGGTGAGCAAGGGAGTCTGTGTGGTGAGCAAGGAGTCTGTGTCTGTGTGGTGAGCAGGGAGTCTGTGTCTGTGTGGTGAGCAGGGAGTCTGTGTCTGTGTGGTGAGCAAGGAGTCTGTGTCTGTGTGGTGAGCAAGGAGTCTGTGTCTGTGTGGTGAGCAGGGAGTCTGTGTCTGTGTGGTGAGCAAGGAGTCTGTGTCTGTGTGGTGAGCAAGGAGTCTGTGTCTGTGTGGTGAGCAAGGAGTCTGTGTCTGTGTGGTGAGCAAGGAGTCTGTGTCTGTGTGGTGAGCAAGGAGTCTGTGTCTGTGTGGTGAGCAAGGAGCCTGTGTCTGTGTGGTGAGCAGGGAGTCTGTGTCTGTGTGGTGAGCAAGGAGTCTGTGTCTGTGTGGTGAGCAAGGAGTCTGTGTCTGTGTGGTGAGCAGGGAGTCTGTGTCTGTGTGGTGAGCAAGGAGTCTGTGTCTGTGTGGTGAGCAAGGGAGCCTGTGTCTGTGTGGTGAGCAAGGAGCCTGTGTCTGTGTGGTGAGCAAGGGAGTCTGTGTCTGTGTGGTGAGCAAGGAGTCTGTGTCTGTGTGGTGAGCAGGGAGTCTGTGTCTGTGTGGTGAGCAAGGAGTCTGTGTCTGTGTGGTGAACAAGGGAGTCTGTGTCTGGGTGGTGAGCAGGGAGCCTGTGTCTGTGTGGTGAGCAAGGGAGTCTGTGTCTGTGTGGTGAGCAGGGAGTCTGTGTCTGTGTGGTGAGCAAGGAGCCTGTGTCTGTGTGGTGAGCAAGGAGCCTGTGTCTGTGTGGTGAGCGAGGAGCCTGTGTCTGTGTGGTGAGCAAGGAGCCTGTGTCTGTGTGGTGAGCAAGGAGTCTGTGTCTGTGTGGTGAGCAGGGAGTCTGTGTCTGTGTGGTGAGCAGGGAGCCTGTGTCTGTGTGGTGAGCAGGGAGTCTGTGTCTGTGTGGTGAGCAAGGGAGTCTGTGTCTGTGTGGTGAGCAGGGAGTCTGTGTCTGTGTGGTGAGCAGGGAGCCTGTGTCTGTGTGGTGAGCAGGGAGTCTGTGTCTGTGTGGTGAGCAGGGAGTCTGTGTCTGTGTGGTGAGCAGGGAGTCTGTGTCTGTGTGGTGAGCAAGGGAGTCTGTGTCTGTGTGGTGAGCAGGGAGTCTGTGTCTGTGTGGTGAGCAAGGGAGCCTGTGTCTGTGTGGTGAGCAGGGAGTCTGTGTCTGTGTGGTGAGCAGGGAGCCTGTGTCTGTGTGGTGAGCAGGGAGCCTGTGTCTGTGTGGTGAGCAGGGAGTCTGTGTCTGTGTGGTGAGCAAGGGAGTCTGTGTCTGTGTGGTGAGCAAGGAGTCTGTGTCTGTGTGGTGAGCAGGGAGTCTGTGTCTGTGTGGTGAGCAGGGAGCCTGTGTCTGTGTGGTGAGCAGGGAGTCTGTGTCTGTGTGGTGAGCAAGGAGTCTGTGTCTGTGTGGTGAGCAAGGAGTCTGTGTCTGTGTGGTGAGCAAGGAGTCTGTGTCTGTGTGGTGAACAAGGGAGTCTGTGTCTGTGTGGTGAGCAGGGAGTCTGTGTCTGTGTGGTGAGCAAGGAGCCTGTGTCTGTGTGGTGAGCAGGGAGCCTGTGTCTGTGTGGTGAGCAGGGAGTCTGTGTCTGTGTGGTGAGCAAGGAGCCTGTGTCTGTGTGGTGAGCAAGGAGCCTGTGTCTGTGTGGTGAGCAAGGAGTCTGTGTCTGTGTGGTGAGCAAGGAGCCTGTGTCTGTGTGGTGAGCAGGGAGCCTGTGTCTGTGTGGTGAGCAGGGAGCCTGTGTCTGTGTGGTGAGCAAGGAGTCTGTGTCTGTGTGGTGAGCAAGGGAGCGAGTGGTGAGCGTGCCCGCCTCTCAGCCCTCGTCTGCTCCCTGCTCGACGTCTCTTGCCGCTCCTCACCGCTCACCAGCGCATCGCTACGCGCAGCGCACACGCTGGTGCGGGACCTTGCGGTGAGCCACACCCACCACTCACTCACCACTCCTCACCACTCACCACTCCTCACCACTCACCACTCCTCACCACTCACTCACCACTCACCAGCGCATCGCTACGCGCAGCGCACACGCTGGTGCGGGACCTTGCGGTGAGCCACACTCACCACTCACTCACCACTCCTCACCACTCACCACTCCTCACCACTCACCACTCCTCACCACTCACTCACCACTCACCAGCGCATCGCTACGCGCAGCGCACACGCTGGTGCGGGACCTTGCGGTGAGTCAAACTCACCACTCCTCACCACTCGCTCACCACTCGCTCATCACTCCTCACCACTCCTCACCACTCGCTCACCACTCCTCACTCTCACCACTCACTCACCACTCACCACTCGTCACTCTCACCACTCGCTCACCATTCCTCACCACTCACCACTCGTCACTCTCACCACTCCTCACCACTCACCACTCCTCACCACTCACTCACCACTCACTCACCACTCCTCACCACTCGCTCACCACTCGCTCATCACTCCTCACCACTCCTCACCACTCGCTCACCACTCCTCACTCTCACCACTCACTCACCACTCACCACTCGTCACTCTCACCACTCGCTCACCATTCCTCACCACTCACCACTCGTCACTCTCACCACTCCTCACCACTCACCACTCCTCACCACTCACTCACCACTCACCACTCACTCACCACTCACCACTCGCTCACCACTCGTCACTCTCACCACTCGCTCACCACTCGCTCACCACTCCTCACCACTCACCACTCGCTCACCACTCACCACTCGCTCACCACTCGTCACTCGTCACTCTCACCACTCGCTCACCACTCACCACTCGCTCACCACTCCTCACCACTCCTCACCACTCCTCACCCGCTCACCACTCCTCACCACTCGCTCACCACTCGCTCACCACTCCTCACCACTCACCACTCCTCACCACTCGCTCACCACTCCTCACCACTCACCACTCCTCACCACTCCTCACCACTCACCACTCGCTCACCACTCCTCACCTTCACCCGTCACTCACCCTTCACCCCCCAACACACTCGACGCGTACAACCCTTGACCTGTTACTTCTGACCCCTGACCCGGTGTTTCGTGCAGACCCAAGCCGTGGCAGAGACCCCAGAGGTCACGGCGTCGTCACCTTTCAACTCTGACCTCTGCCAGGGGTCAGGGGTCACGTTCAAGGCATGCTGCGAGGATGGCCTCCCGTGCAACCCAGAGGTCAGAGGTTAGAGACTCTGGGTCTCAGGAACTAGAGACTCAGGGAGACCGGGTCTCAGGGTCAGAGTCTGGGTGAGACTCAGGGAGACCGGGTCTCAGGGTCAGAGTCTGAATGAGACTCAGGGAGACCGGGTCTCAGGGTCAGAGTCTGAATGAGACTCAGGGAGACCGGGTCTCGGGGTCAGGGTGAGACTCAGGGAGACCGGGTCTCAGGGTGAGTGTCTCCACTGAGACTCAGGGAGACCGGGTCTCAGGGTCAGAGTGAGACTCAGGGAGACCGGGTCTCAGGGTGAGTGTCTCCACTGAGACTCAGGGAGACCGGGTCTCAGGGTCAGGGTGAGACTCAGGGAGACCGGGTCTCAGGGTCAGGGTGAGACTCAGGGAGACCGGGTCTCAGGGTCAGAATCTCCACTGAGACTCAGGGAGACCGGGTCTCAGGGTCAGAGTGAGACTCAGGGAGACCGGATCTCAGGGTCAGAGTGAGACTCAGGGAGACTGAGTCTCAGGGTCAGAGTGAGACTCAGGGAGACCGGGTCTCAGGGTCAGAGTGAGACTCAGGGAGACCGGGTCTCAGAGTGAGAGTTTCCACCGGGTCTCAGAGCTGACCGTGTGCTCCGTGCGTGCAGCGCGGATCTCGGAGTCATGGATTCCTGGGCAACCTCCTCAAAGTGCTCGAGTTGGCGCAGAGGCACCCCGAGGCGACCCAGACCCTGCACCAACTCGTGTCGGCCTTGTTGGTGAGGAGCAACCACTCACCAACCACTCACCAACCACTCACCAACCAACTCACCAACCCACTCACCAACCAACTCACCAACCATCTCACCAACCAACTCACCAACCATCTCACCAACCAACTCACCAACCAACTCACCAACCAACTCACCAACCATCTCACCAACCCACTCACCAACCCACTCACCAACCAACTCACCAACCAACTCACCAACCCACTCACCAACCCACTCACCAACCAACTCACCAACCAACTCACCAACCAACTCACCAACCAACTCACCAACCCACTCACCAACCATCTCACCAACCATCTCACCAACCATCTCACCAACCAACTCACCAACTCACTCACCAACCAACTCACCAACCAACTCACCAACCATCTCACCAACCACTCACCAACCAACTCACCAACCCACTCACCAACCAACTCACCAACCATCTCACCATCTCACCAACCAACTCACCAACCATCTCACCAACCAACTCACCAACCCACTCACCAACCCACTCACCAACCAACTCACCAACCACTCACCAACCAACTCACCAACCAACTCACCAACCATCTCACCAACCAACTCACCAACCCACTCACCAACCCACTCACCAACCAACTCACCAACCACTCACCAACCAACTCACCAACCATCTCACCAACTCACCAACCCACTCACCAACCAACCAACTCACCACCCCACTCTCCACACCGCTCACCAACCAACTCACCAACCACTCACCAACCCACTCACCAACCCACTCACCAACCCACGCACCAACCACTCACCAACCCACTCACCAACCCACTCACCAACCCACTCACCAACCACTCACCAACCCACTCACCAAACACTCACCAACCCACTCACCAACCATCTCACCAACCAACTCACCAACCAACTCACCAACCATCTCACCAACCAACTCACCAACCACTCACCAACCCACTCACCAACCCACTCACCAACCATCTCACCAACCAACTCACCAACCAACTCACCAACCAACTCACCAACCATCTCACCAACCAACTCACCAACCAACTCACCAACCCACTCACCAACCCACTCACCAACCATCTCACCAACCAACTCACCAACCAACTCACCAACCAACTCACCAACCAACTCACCAACCAACTCACCAACCAACTCACCAACCATCTCACCAACCAACTCACCAACAAACTCACCAACCAACTCATCAACCATCTCACCAACCAACTCACCAACCATCTCACCAACCATCTCACCAACCAACTCACCAACCATCTCACCAACCCACTCACCAACCAACTCACCAACCAACTCACCAACCAACTCACCAACCATCTCACCAACCATCTCACCAACCATCTCACCAACCAACTCACCAACCATCTCACCAACCATCTCACCAACCAACTCACCAACCATCTCACCAACCCACTCACCAACCAACTCACCAACCAACTCACCAACCATCTCACCAACCAACTCAACAACCAACTCACCAACCAACTCACCAACCCACTCACCAACCAACTCACCAACCAACTCACCAACCAACTCACCAACCCACTCACCAAACAACTCACCAACCATCTCACCAACCACTCACCAACCACTCACCAACCAACTCACCAACCCACTCACCAACCAACTCACCAACCATCTCACCAACCAACTCACCAACCAACTCACCAACCACTCACCAACCAACTCACCAACCCACTCACCAACCAACTCACCAACCATCTCACCAACCAACTCACCAACCAACTCACCAACCACTCACCAACCACTCACCAACCAACTCACCAACCAACTCACCAACCCACTCACCAACCCACTCACCAACCATCTCACCAACCCACTCACCAACCAACTCATCAACCCACTCACCAACCAACTCACCAACCAACTCACCAACCAACTCACCAACCAACTCACCAACCACTTACCGACCAACTCACCGACCAACTCACCAACCAACTCACCAACCATCTCACCAACCATCTCACCAACCAACTCACCAACCAACTCACCAACCCACTCACCAACCCACTCACCAACCATCTCACCAACCAACTCACCAACCACTTACCAACCCACTCACCAACCCGCTCACCAACCAACTCACCAACCCACTCACCAACCAACTCACCAACCAACTCACCAACCCACTCACCAACCATCTCACCAACTAATTCACCAACCAACTCACCAACCAACTCACCAACCATCTCACCAACCAACTCACCAACCCACTCACCAACCAACTCACCAACCATCTCACCAACCATCTCACCAACCATCTCACCAACCAACTCACCAACCAACTCACCAACCAACTCACCAACCCACTCACCAACCAACTCACCAACCATCTCACCAACCCACTCACCAACCATCTCACCAACCATCTCACCAACCAACTCACCAACCGACTCACCAACCCAATTCTCCAACCAACTCACAAATCGACTCACCGATCAACTCACCAACCAACTCACCAACCACTCACCAACCGACTCACCCATGCACCACCTCCACCGCCTCCACTACCACCACTACCGCCACCACTGCCACCACCACAACCACCACTACCGCCACCACCACAACCACCACAACCACCACTACCGATGGTTTGCAGGAGGGCTCCATTGAGCCCGAGGCGTTCAAGAGCAGAGTCACCCAGGAAGTGAAGAACCACCCAGAGCCGTACACCCTCCACTTCCTCAAGGTGCCATCACCACCATCACCATCACTACCATCACTACCATCACTACCATCACCACCATCACCACCATCACCACCATCATCACCACCCAGAGCCGTACACCCTGCCCTTCCTGAAGGTGCCATCACCACCACCATCACCATCATCACCATCACCACCATCACTATCATCATCACCATCACCAATCATCATCACCATCACTACCATCACCATCACTACCATCATCACCACCATCATCACCACCCAGAGCCGTACACCCTGCCCGTGCTGAAGGTGCCATCATCACCATCATCACTACCATCATCATCACCATCACTACCATCACTACCATCACTAGCATCATCACCATCACCACCATCACCACCATCACTATCATCATCACCATCATCACCATCACCACCATCACCACCATCACGAATACCACCATCATCACCACCATCACTATCATCATCACCATCACCATCATCACCACCCAGAGCCGTAAACCCTGCCCTTGCTCAAGGTGCCATCACCATCACCATCATCACCATCATCACCATCATCATCACCATCACCATCATCACCATCATCATCACCATCACCATCATCACCACCATCATCACCATCACCATCACCACCACCCAGAGCCGTACACCCTGCACTTGCTGAAGGTACCATCACCATCACCACATCACCACCATCACCACCATCACCACCATCACCACCATCACCATCACCACCATTACCACCATCATCACCATCATCACCATCACTATCATCACCACCATCACCACCATCACTATCATCATCACCATCACCACCATCACCACCATCATCACCATCACTATCATCATCACCACCATCACTATCATCATCACCACCATCACCACCATCACCACCATCACTATCATCATCACCATCACCACCATCACCACCATCACTATCATCACCATCACTACCATCAACACCATCAACACCATCACCACCATCATCACCATCACTATCATCATCACCACCATCACTATCATCATCACCACCATCACCACCATCATCACCACCATCACCACCATCACCACCATCACTATCATCATCACCATCACCACCATCACCACCATCACTATCATCACCATCACTACCATCAACACCATCAACACCATCACCACCATCATCACCATCACTATCATCATCACCATCACTACCATCACCACCATCATCACCATCACCACCATCATCACCATCACTATCATCATCACCATCACCACCATCACCATCACCACCATTACCACCATCATCACCATCATCACCATCACTATCATCACCACCATCACCACCATCACCACCATCACCACCATCACTATCATCACCACCATCACCACCATCACCACCATCATCACCATCACTATCATCATCACCACCATCACTATCATCATCACCACCATCACCACCATCACCATCACCACCATCACCACCATCACTATCATCACCATCTACTACCATCATCACCATCAACACCATCACCACCATCATCACCATCATCACCATCACTATCAACATCACCACCATCACTCAACATCATCACCATCACTAACATCATCACCATCACTCACCATCACCACCATCACTCAACATCATCACCATCACTATCATCATCACCATCACTACCATCACCACCATCATCACCATCACCACCATCATCACCACCCAGAGCCGTAAACCCTGCACTTGCTGAATGTACCATCACTACCATCACCATAACCACCATCACTACCATCACTACCATCACTACCATCACTGCCATCACTGCCATCACTATCATCATCACCATCACCACCATCATCACCACCCAGAGCCGTACACCCTGCACTTCCTGAAGGTGCCATCACCACCATCACTGCCACCATCACCACGACTCAGAGCCATACACCCTGCAATTCCTCAAGGTACCATCACCACCACCACCACCACCATCGCCGTCATCATCATCACCATCATCACACCACAACCATCACCACCACCACGACACCACCACAACCCCACCACCACACCACCATCACACCACCACCACACCACCATCACCATACACACCACCATCACCATACCACCACCACCACACCACCATCACCATACACACCACCATCACCATACACACCACCATCACCATACACACCATCATCACCACACACACCACCATCACCACCACCACCACCATCATCACACCACCACCACACCACCACCACTACCACCATCACACCACCATCACCATACACACCACCATCACCATACACACCACCATCACCATACACACCACCATCACCACACCACCACCATATCACCACCACCACCACCACACCACCACCACCACACCACCATCACACCACCACCACCACACCACCACCACTACCACCACCACTACCACCATCACACCACCACCACCACACCACCACCACTACCACCACCACCACCAAAACTACCACCACCACCACACCACCACCACCACACCACCACCACTACCACCACACCACCACCACCACACCACCACCACCACTACCACCACTACCACCACCATCACCACACCACCACCACCACTACACCACCACCACCACCATCACCACCACCACCACACCACCACCACACACCACCACCACACCACCACCATCACCACCATATCACCACCACCACACCACCACCACCACCACCATCACACCACCACACCACCACCACCATATCACCACCACCACACCACCACCACCACCACCATATCACCACCACCACCATCACACCACCACACCACCACCATATCACCACCACCACACCACCACCACCACACCACCACCACTACCACCACCACACCACCACCACTACCACCACCATCACACCACCACCACTACCACCACCACACCACCACCACGGGATAAACCTCCCACCGCCCCCCCCCCGCCCACAGCTCTCCCTCCCCTCCATCCGCCAGCTTCTGGCTGAGCGGACCTACGGGCGCCCCACGACCGCGGCCTCCCCGCTCACCACCCCCCCACCACCAATCTCCCCACGATGCGTGCCCAAGGTGACAACGTCACTCTACGTCACTCAACTACGTCACTCAACTACGTCACTCTACGACGTCACTCTACGACACTCTACGTCACTCTACGTCACTCAACAACGTCACTCTACACTGTCACTCTACGCTGTCACTCTACGACGTCACTCTACGACACTCTACGTCACTCTACGTCACTCAACAACGTCACTCTACACTGTCACTCTACGCTGTCACTCTACGACGTCACTCTACGTCACTCTACGTCACTCTACACTGTCACTCAACAACGTCACTCTACGTCACTCTACGTCACTCTACACTGTCACTCAACAACGTCACTCTACGTCACTCTACGTCACTCTACGCTGTCACTCTACGACGTCACTCTACGTCACTCTACGTCACTCTACACTGTCACTCTACGTCACTCTACGCTGTCACTCTACGTCACTCTACGACGTCACTCTACGTCACTCTACGACGTCACTCTACGTCACTCTACAACGCACCCCTCCTCCTTCTTAGCTCTTCCACTAACTCCAGCTGGGGGGTGGGGGGGGGATGTTAGATTGCGTGCATATGCTGATGATGATGATGCTGATGGTGATGATGGTGATGCTGCTGATGATGCTGATGGTGATGATGATGGTGATGATGATGGTGATGATGCTGGTGATGATGCTGATGCTGCTGATGATGGTGATAATGGTGATGATGCTGATGCTGCTGATGATGGTGATGATTATGATGCTGATGGTGATGATACTGCTGATGATGGTGATGCTGCTGGTGATGATAATGGTGATGATGCTGATGGTGATGCTGCTGATGATGCTTCTGATGATGATGCTGCTGATGATGACGGTGCTGCTGATGCTGCTGATGCTGATGCTTTCTCACAGGAACAGAAGCGACCGGCAGAAGAGGAATGTCTGGGTGCAGCGACTCAGAGGGACATCAAACGACTCCGGAAATACACGCACTGCGGAGAACAACACTCCACCTCCACCACCTCCACCACCTCCACCAACAACGACTCCACCACCTCCACCACCAACGACTACTCCACCCCCTCCACCAATACTAACAAGACTCCACCACCATAACCACCACTACCTCCACCACCAACCCTTCCACCTCCACCACCTACGGCTCCACCACCACCACCTCAACCACCTCCACCACCACCACCTCCACCACCAACCTCCTCCACCACCTACGGCTCCACCACCACCACCTCCACCTCAACCACCACCACCTCAACCACCACCACCACCACCTCAACCACCTCCACCACCACCTCAACCACCTCCACTACCTCCACTACCACCACCACCTCCACCTACGGCTCCACCACCATAACAACCACCACCACCTCCACCACCACCACTACTAACAAGACTCCACCACCTCCACCACCAATGACTCCACCACCACAACCACCACCACCTCCACCACCACCTCCCTGATGCCTGCTGCTGTAGATTTGGAGTTTGCGTCTCTCTCTCATCATCATCATCACGGTGGCTAGGAGATGTTGACTACCTCTCCTGGTCTACAGGAGGTCGTGGGTTCGATCCCGACTTCGTTGAGCTGCCGTTTGTGATTAGCGGCGTCGCATCTGAACAACGGAGCTTTAACGGTATAGCTCAGTGGGGCCGTATTACAGAGTAAAATAAACAAAATAGTTCGGTTTAAATCGTTTCGTTTACCAGGGCGGACTGCCGGTTCGAACCGCAAACCTCCACACCGCAGCTGAATAAAGACTCACTCCGAGCAGATTCATCCACGGTGTCTTTCAACTGAGCTCACACAGAGACCCGTAGACTCACAGAGACCCACTCACACAGATACCCGTAGACACACACAGAGACCCGTAGACTCACACAGAGACCCACAGACTCACACAGAGACCCGTAGACACACACAGAGACCCACAAACTAACACAGAGACCCAAAGACTCACACAGAGACCCGTAGACTCACACAGAGACCCACAGACTCACACAGAGACACCCACAGACTGAGTTGAGATCAAAATGAGTTTACAGGTGCAGTGAGCTGATCGTCTCAGCCCGGTCACCAATCACCGCACACACAAAGACAAAGATTCCCCATGTAGCCTTAACAGACTGTTGGGACAAGTGCTGTTAGCGAGCAGCACCTATGAAGGCTACCGGCACTGTGGCACACGAGGGGGTGGGTGGCCAGCACCACGCCCGGCCGCCTTTGTCTCCCCAGCGGCGATGTTTACCACACCACCGCTCCAGGTAACTCATTCAAGGCTGAGTCGACCTAGGGAACACACGCACGCGGAAACGATCCATCCGAATCGGGTGAAGTTTCATCTCCGAAATGATTAAGTTACGAAACAGTCCTGGACGGCGAGACCGCCACCGCCAACCGTGATTGTTAGGCCCCAGCCAGAGGTCGCACACGGGTTTTGATTCCTTACCCGTACCCGGCCGCACCAGGGTCGCAAACGGGTACCCGTACCCGGCCGTACCCGTACCCTACCCGTACCCTACCGGGTATCGGGTACCCGATTGCGACCTCTGGGATGAAGCCATATTGCAGGCGCGGGTGGGTTGATTCTAGGAACTTGAATTGTGAGAAGAGACAAGACGTTGGGAAATGAGTGACAAACGGTGACTCACCAGTGACTCACGGCCTACCCGGCTACCCGTACCCGGCCGCACCAGGGTCGCAAACGGGTAGCCGTACCCGGCCGGGTACGGGTAGCCGGATATCGGATAGGGTACGGGTATCGGGTACCCGGTTGCGACCTCTGGCCCCAGCCACGGCTGACACGTGTGGTTTGCATGTCCACCACAAGTGTAGTATATAGTGTAGTGGAGAGAGTAGTGTATGTCGCAGAATAAAATCCACAACATTTACAATTTGGCTACCATGACGTTTCGCCGGCAATCACATCCGCAGCGTCATCGGGCGATTTTCCACGTCGTCGCAACTCAAATCGTAAATCTTGCGGAGTTACTCTCTCCAGCACACCGGTGGGCTGAAGCAGTCAACTAATCGGCGGTTACGATGCATCTACGCGTACTAACCGAAAAACATTCACCGCGAACAAAATTGCTTGCGTAAAGCCTCCGTGTTAAACGAAAGCGGCATGTGCAAGCGGGTGGGTCGGGCACTCGAAAGAGGCCCGCACGGATGGAGTCAACCTTCCACCGATGCTAGAAATCGCGCTCTCACTTTTGTTCCCGAAGCTGCTCAAGTAATCAGTGATCAAAGGATTTGAAATGAGTAACCACATTTGCAAAAAAAACAAAACAAAACCACAGGTCTACAACTACCCAGGATAGTGACAGGCTTCAGGCCCATAGCTTCAAAGGAGAGCGGCAGGCTTCAGGCCTACAACCACCCAGGAAAACGGCAGGCTTCAGGCCTTAGCTACTCAGTAAAGTGGCAGGCTTCAGGCCTACAACCACCCAGGAAAAGAGATGGCTTCAGGCCTTGGCTACTCAGTTAAGCGGCAGGCTTAGGGCCTTGTCTACTTTGATGAGTGGCAGGCTTCAGGCCTATAACCACTCAGTGGAGCGGCAGGCTTCAGGCCTTGTCTACTCTGATGAGTGGCAGGCTTCAGGCCTATAACCACTCAGTGGAGTGGCAGGCTTCAGGCCTTGTCTACTCTGATGAGTGGCAGGCTTCAGGCCTATAACCACTCAGTGGAGCGGCAGGCTTAAGGCCTTGTCTACTCAGTGGAGTGGCAGGCTTGGGCCTTGGCTACTCAGTGGAGCGGCAGGCTTCAGGCCTGAGGGGGGGGGGGGTGTGGCAGGCTTCAGGCCTCGGCTACTCAGTGGAGTGGCAGGCTTCAGGCCTGAGGGGGGGGGGGGTGCGGCAGGCTTGAGGCCTTGTCTACTCAGTGGAGCGGCAGGCTTCAGGCCTGAGGGGGGGGTGCGGCGTCCCCCGTCCACTCGGCGTCTTCGTGGAAGCGAACGAGGGCGGCGTGGCGCGCCGCCTGGGTCCCCTCAGCGAAGAGCACGGCCTTCACCCGGCCCCCGCGGGGGGCACGGATCGTGTGCTGGGGGGGGGGGGGGGGGGGTAGGTGGGGGGTGGGCATGGGGGAGAGGGAGAGAAGGAGGATGGGAATAATGAGTGGCTGTGAGAAGGAGTTGTGGTCTGTGTGTGTGTGAGTGTGTGTGGGCGAGTGTGTGTGAGTGGGTGGGTGTGTGTGGGCGAGTGTGTGTGTGTGAGTGTGTGTGGGCGAGTGTGTGTGGGCGAGTGTGTGTGTGTGTGGGCGGGTGTGTGGGCGAGTGAGTGTGTGTGTGAGTGGGCGAGTGTGCGTGTGTGTGGGCGGGTGTGTAGGCGAATGCGTGTGTGTGGGCCAGTGTGTGTGTGTGGGCGAGTGTGTGTGTGTGGGCGAGTGTGTGTGTGTGGGCGGGTGTGTGGGTGAGTGTGTGTGTGAGTGAGTGTGTGTGTGAGTGGGTGAGTGTGTGGGCGAGTGTGTGTGTGAGTGAGTGTGTGTCGAAGAGTGTGTGTGTGAGTGGGTGAGTGTATGTCGAAGAGTGAGTGTGTGGGCGAGTGAGTGATTGTGTGTGTGTGGGCGAGTGTGAGTGTGTGTGTGTCAGTGTGTGTGTGTGTCAGTGTTTGTGTAAATGTGTGTGTGTCAGTGGGGAGCGGTGGGTGTAGTGGTTAGCGCTACGCTGCGCTACGCACCTGGCGACCCGGGTTCGATTCCCGCTCACGGCCAACACCGGTGACGATTATCTGAACCGGTCCTGGGCCTCCCCTAGGTCGACTCAGCCTCAAATGAGTACCTGGTGCGGTGTGTAAACATCGCCGCTAGGGAGACAAAGGCGGTCGGGCGTGGTGCTGGCCACCTACCCCCTCGTGTACCGTTCCGGCCTTCATAGGTGCTCGCTAACAGCACTTGCCCCTATAGTCTGTTAAGGCTACACGGGGGATCTTTGTTTTTGTCGAAGAGTGAGTGAGTGTGTGAGTGGGCGAGTGAGTGTGGGCGGGTGTGTGAGTGTGTGTTGAAGAGTGAGGGAGTGTGTGAGTGTGTGTGAGTGTGTGTTGAAGAGTGAGTGAGTGTGTGTGTGAGTGTGTGTGTGAGTGAGTGTGTGTGAGTGAGTGTGTGTGGGAGTGTGAGTGTGTGTGTGTGAGTGCGTGTGTGAGTGAGTGAGTGTGTGTGAGTGTGTGTGAGTGTAAGTGGAAGAATGAGTGTATGTGTGTGTGTGAGTGGGTGAGTGTGAGTGTGTGTGAGTGTGTGTTGAAGAGTGAGTGTGTGTGTGGGTGAGTGTGTGTTGAAGAGTGAGTGTGTGTGTGGGTGAGTGTGTGTGAGTGAGTGTGTGTGTGAGTGAGTGTGTGTGAGTGAGTGTGTGTGGGAGTGTGAGTGTGTGTGTGTGAGTGCGTGTGTGAGTGAGTGAGTGTGTGTGAGTGTGTGTGAGTGTAAGTGGAAGAATGAGTGTATGTGTGTGTGTGAGTGGGTGAGTGTGTGTGTGAGTGTGTGTGAGTGTGTGTTGAAGAGTGAGTGTGTGTGTGTGTGAGTGTGTGTTGAAGAGTGAGTGTGTGTGTGGGTGAGTGTGTGTGAGTGAGTGTGTGTTGAAGAGTGAGTGTGTGTGTGGGTGAGTGTGTGTGTGAGTGTGTGTTGAAGAGTGAGTGTGTGTGTGGGTGAGTGTGTGTTGAAGAGTGAGTGTGTGTTGAAGAATGAGTGTATGTGTGTGTGTGAGTGTGTGAGTGTGTGTGTGAGTGTGTGTGAGTGTGTGTTGAAGAGTGAGTGTGTGTGTGGGTGAGTGTGTGAGTGTGTTGAAGAGTGTGTGTGTGTGTGGGCGAGTGTGTGTGTGTGTGTGAGTGAAGAGTGAGTGAGAGAGTGAGTGTGTGTGTATGTTGAACTTCTTTTGCACCATACGTAGCCAATCACGCTATCTGGGGATGTGGGGGAAGGAGTCGGGAGTGGTGGTGCAGCGGTTAGCGCTACGCTGAGCTACGAAGCCGGCGACCCGAGTTTAATTCCCGCTCACCTGGGTCTATCCTGTGACCTGCACCTAGCCTGGCACAGCAGTCAACCCATGGCACCTGCTGGGTCTATCCTGTGACCTGCACCTAGCCTGGCACAGCAGTCAACCCATGGCACCTGCTGGGTCTATCCTGTGACCTGCACCTAGCCTGGCACAGCAGTCAACCCGTGGCACCTGCTGGGTCTGTCCCGTGACCTCCTGCACCTAGCCTGGCACAGCAGTCAACCCATGGCACCTGCTGGGTCCATCCTGTGACTTGCACCTAGCCTGGCACAGCAATCAACCCACGGCACCTGCTGGGTCTGTCACGTGACCTCATGCACCTAGCCTGGCACAGCAGTCAACCCGCGGCACCTGCTGGGTCTGTCCCGTGACCTCCTGCACCTAGCCTGGCACAGCAGTCAACCCACGCCACCTGCTGGGTCTGTCCCGTGACCTCCTGCACCTAGCCTGGCACAGCAGTCAACCCACGGCACCTGCTGGGTCTGTCCCGTGACCTCCTGCACCTAGCCTGGCACAACAGTCAACCCCTGGCACCATCACTGGGTGCAGTATTGTGGCTGTACCTGTGCGTGTGTGTGCGTGTGTGCGTGCGCGTGTGTGCGCGTGTGTGCGCGTGTGTGTGTGTGTGTGCGCGTGTGTGTGTGTGCGTGTGTGTGTGCGTGTGTGTGTGCGTGTGTGTGTGTGCGTGTGTGTGTGCATGTATGTGTGTGCGTGCATTTTCACCTCCATCTTCATTGCGTTCATGATGATGAGCGGGTCCCCGGCTTGTACCACATCACCCACTTTCACCATCACCTGCACCATCACCAACACCACCACCACCACCATCATCACTACCAACCACAGAGATCCCCCGTGTAGCCTCTAGCAGACTGCTGGGGCAAGTGCTGCTAGTAGCGAGTAGCAGCAGCACCTATGAAGGTAGACACAGACAAAGATCCCCCGTGTAGCCTCTAACAGACTGCTGGGGCAAGTGCTGTTAGTAGCGAGTAGCAGCACCTATGAAGGCTGGCACGGCACACGAGGGGGTGGGTGGCCAGCACCACGCCCGGCCGCCTTTGTCTCCCCAGTGGCGATGTTTACACCGCTACACCAGGTACTCGTTTGAGGCTGAGTCGACCTAGGGGAGGAGGCCCAGGACCGGTTCAGATAATCGTCATCGCCGGTGTTGGCCAGGAACGGAAATCGAACTCGGGTCGCCGGGTTCGTAGCGGAGCGTAGCGCTAACCACTACACCCACCACTCCCTCCATCATCATGACCACCAGCACCATCACCACCTTCATCAGCACCTGCACCATCACCACCATCACCACCGTCACCACCACCATTATCACCATCACCACCATCACCATCACCACCACCATCACCACCATCACCACCATCACCACCACCATCACCACCATCACCACCACCACCGTCACCGTCACCACCACCATCACCACCACCACCATCACCACCACCACCATCACCACCATCATCACCACCATCACCACCATCATCACCACCATCACCACCACCATCACCACCACCATCACCACCACCACCACCATCATCACCACCATCACCATCATCATCACCACCATCACCACCACCATCACCACCACCATCACCACCACCACCACCATCACCACCTACACCACATCATCATCACCATCACCACCACCATCACCACCATCACCACCACCACCATCATCACCACCACCACCACCACCATCATCACCACCACCACCATCACCACCATCACCACCACCACCACCACCATCACCACCCATCACCACCACCACCATCACCACCATCACCACCATCACCACCACCACCATCATCACCACCACCACCATCACCACCACCACCATCACCACCATCACCACCATCACTACCATCATCACCACCACCATCACCACCACGACAATCGTCACCAACAAAATCATCACCGCCGCTGCGACTGAGCGGTGTTACCGCGGCAACGTCACCGTCACCGACGGTAACCAACGGCAACGTCACCTTCTCGATGGTGCCGGTCATGGGGGCGACGGCCCCGGCGATGGCGGTGGGGGCGGCCGCGGCGGAGACGAAATGCGGGACGGGAACCGAGACGGAGACACAGCCAGCCTGCAGCACCCACAATGCAACACACACACACAGCCTGTAGCACCTGGCATGCATCACACACACAGCCTGTAGCACCCAGAATGCAACACCCACACACACACAGCCTGCAGCACCCACAATGCAACACACACACACAGCCTGTAGCACCTGGCATGCATCACACACACAGCCTGTAGCACCCACAATGCAACACACACACACAGCCTGTAGCACCTGGCATGCAACACACACACAGCCTGTAGCACCCACAATGCAACACACACACACAGCCTGCAGCACCCACAATGCAACACACACACACAGCCTGCAGCACCCACAATGCAACACACACACACAGCCTGTAGCACCTGGCACACACACACACAGCCTGTAGCACCCACAATGCAACACACACACACAGCCTGCAGCACCCACAATGCAACACACACACACAGCCTGTAGCACCCACAATGCAACACACACACAGCCTGCAGCACCTGGCACACACACACACAGCCTGTAGCACCCACAATGCAACACACACACAGCCTGCAGCACCTGGCACATACACACACACAGCCTGCAGCACCCACAATGCAACACACACACACAGCCTGTAGCACCCACAATGCAACACACACACAGCCTGTAGCACCTGGCACACACACACACACAGCCTGCAGCACCCACAATGCAACACACACACAGCCTGCAGCACCCACAATGCAACACACACACACAGCCTGTAGCACCTGGCATGCATCACACACACAGCCTGTAGCACCCACAATGCAACACCCACACACACACAGCCTGCAGCACCCACAATGCAACACACACACACAGCCTGTAGCACCTGGCATGCATCACACACACAGCCTGTAGCACCCACAATGCAACACACACACACAGCCTGTAGCACCTGGCATGCAACACACACACAGCCTGTAGCACCCACAATGCAACACACACACACAGCCTGCAGCACCCACAATGCAACACACACACACAGCCTGCAGCACCCACAATGCAACACACACACACAGCCTGTAGCACCTGGCACACACACACACAGCCTGTAGCACCCACAATGCAACACACACACACAGCCTGCAGCACCCACAATGCAACACACACACAGCCTGCAGCACCTGGCACACACACACACAGCCTGTAGCACCCACAATGCAACACACACACAGCCTGCAGCACCTGGCACACACACACACACAGCCTGCAGCACCCACAATGCAACACACACACACAGCCTGCAGCACCCACAATGCAACACACACACAGCCTGTAGCACCTGGCACACACACACACACAGCCTGCAGCACCCACAATGCAACACCCACACAGCCTGCAGCACCCACAATTCAACACACACACACAGCCTGTAGCACCTGGCATGCATCACACACACAGCCTGTAGCACCCACAATGCAACACACACACACAGCCTGCAGCACCCACAATGCAACACACACACACAGCCTGCAGCACACACAATGCAACACACACACACAGCCTGTAGCACCTGGCACACACACACACAGCCTGTAGCACCCACAATGCAACACACACACACAGCCTGCAGCACCCACAATGCAACACACACACACAGCCTGTAGCACCCACAATGCAACACACACACAGCCTGCAGCACCTGGCACACACACACACAGCCTGTAGCACCCACAATGCAACACACACACAGCCTGCAGCACCTGGCACACACACACACACAGCCTGCAGCACCCACAATGCAACACACACACAGCCTGTAGCACCCACAATGCAACACACACACAGCCTGTAGCACCTGGCACACACACACACACAGCCTGCAGCACCCACAATGCAACACACACACAGCCTGCAGCACCCACAATGCAACACACACACAGCCTGTAGCACCTGGCACACACACACACACAGCCTGCAGCACCCACAATGCAACACACACACACAGCCTGTAGCACCTGGCACACACACACACAGCCTGTAGCACCCACAATGCAACACACACACACAGCCTGTAGCACCCACAATGCAACACACACACAGCCTGTAGCACCTGGCATGCATCACACACACAGCCTGTAGCACCCAGAATGCATCACACACACAGCCTGTAGCACCCAGAATGCAACACCCACACACACACAGCCTGCAGCACCCACAATGCAACACACACACACAGCCTGTAGCACCTGGCACACACACACACACAGCCTGCAGCACCCACAATGCAACACACACACACAGCCTGTAGCACCTGGCACACACACACACAGCCTGTAGCACCCACAATGCAACACACACACACAGCCTGCAGCACCCACAATGCAACACACACACAGCCTGTAGCACCCACAATGCAACACACACACAGCCTGCAGCACCCACAATGCAACACACACACACAGCCTGTAGCACCTGGCACCCACACACACACAGCCTGCAGCACCCACAATGCAACACACACACAGCCTGCAGCACCCACAATGCAACACACACACACAGCCTGTAGCACCTGGCACCCACACACACAGCCTGCAGCACCCACAATGCAACACACACACAGCCTGTAGCACCTGGCACCCACACACACAGCCTGCAGCACCCACAATGCAACACACACACAGCCTGTAGCACCTGGCACGCATCACACACACAGCCTGTAGCACCCAGAATGCAACACACACAGCTTGTAGCACCTGGCACACATCACACACACAGCTGATTATGCTGCTGCTGATGATAGTGATGATGATGATAGTGATAGTGATGATGGTGATGATGATAGTGGTGATGAGATGATAGTGATGATGATAGTGATGATGATAGTGATGATGGTGATGATGATAGTGATGATAGTGATGATGATAGTGATGATGATGATGATAGTGATGATGGTGATGATAGTGATGATGATGGTGATGATGATAGTGATGATGATAGTGATTATGATGATGATAGTGATGATGATGCTGCTGATGATGCTGCTGATGATGATGCTGCTGCTCCTGCTGATGATGATGATGTCACTGATGATGATGTCACTGATAATGTCACTGATCAGTCCCTC